GTGCATTGAGACCATTTACATTAATGGTTATTACTGTTAAATGCTGGTTAATTGTAGGAATGTTATCTCTCTGCTGTTGCATCTTTATCTTTCGGTTCTGTTTAATTATTTGCTTTGCTTAGTGGTTTTTTCCTTTGTGTATCTAAACTGTCTTTCAATATTTTTTGCAGGGTTGGTTTGGTGTTCATGAAGTTCTTCAGCTGTTCTTTGTCATGGAAGTATCGTATTGCACCATCTATTTTGAATGATAGTTTTGCAGGATATATCAGTCTTGGTTGGAAATCATTTTGCTTTAGGATCTGGAATACTTCACTCCATGCTCTTCTTGACTTTATCGTTTGTGCTGAGAAGTCTGCTGTGATTCTGATAGGTTTTCCTTTATAAGTGATTTGTCTTTTCTCTCTGACAGCTTTTAATAATCTATTCTTGTGTTGGATTTCTGGGATGGTGACTATTATATGTCTGGGTGTAGTTTTATTTTGGTTATGACTGTTTGGAGTTCTATATGCTTCACTGATCCTGATGTCAGTTTCTGATCTCATGCTTGGGAAATTTTCAGCTATTACTTCTCTAAATATCCTCCTGACATCCTTCATGTTGTCTCCCTCTCTTTCATTAATCCCTATCATTCTTATGTTATTCTTCTTTACATCGTCTTGCAGTTGTTGAATTGTTGTTTCCTGGTTCCTTGTTATTTTCAAAAGAACTTTCCTTTCCTGTTCACTAGCTGCAATCCTGTCTTCAAGGTCTGAAATTCTATCTTCACTTTCATTAAGGCGGTTTTTACAACTTTCAGTGGAGTTTTTTATTTCCTGTATATCTCTGTGCATCTGCATTATGTATTCTGTTTGTTTCTTATATTGCTCGTCTAGGGATTCTATCTTTTTGTTTAGTTCCTCCAATTTTTTATCTGTGTTTTCTTTAGATATATTTAGAATCTCTTTCATTTCTTTTATCATTTCTTCTTTTATCTGGGAGATTATTTCGAGTTTGAATTTCTTTAAAGCTTCCTGGAGTTGCTTGTCAATTTCAGTGGCTATTGTGTCCGATATATGAGGTGGATGGGATATATTTTCTTCTATATACATCGCTCCTAGGGTTTCTTGAGATGGGCTGGAGGTTTGAGGTTGTAATTTGGTCTTTCTTTTTGTCATTTTCCTATATTTCTGTGTTTCAAGTGTTATTTGAAAGCTTCCTCAGGATCTGTTGAAAATCCCCTTCTATGTTTGGAGCTACTGGGACTCTGGCGCCGCGCTACTCCAAGCCATTAGGCCTACAGAACCAGTGGCCCTCCTCTGCCTGCTCAGAACTCCGCAGTTCCAGACAAGCTGGGCCTCAGGGACACTGTGCGCCCACCTGCCCCTTGGAAGCTCCACAGTTCTTCAATCGCAGCCGGGTTAGGGTACTCACCACAGGCCGCAGTGCTTCAGGAACCTGTGGACCCACCCTGGTTGCAGAGATATCCACAGTCCTCCAGACATGCAGAGTGGCCGGTGAGGGCACCCCAGATCTGCCCAGCTCCTCCTCTGCAGACCTATGGCCAGGCGCGGCAGCTAAACAGGCTGGGCTAGGCTGATAGTGTGGGCCAGCCCACCTATCGGGAGCTCAGCAGGTCTCCAAATGAAGCCGGGAATGGGGAGGCTGATGTGGAAGCCTCAAACCCACCTCTCCCCTTCACTGCACCTGGAAGCCTGAGGGAACTCCAGCAGTCTGGGTGCAGAAATCCAGAGTCCTCCAGACACGCAGAGAGGCCAGTGAGGGCACCCCAGATCTGCCCAGCTCCTCCTCTGCAAACCTATGGCCAGGCGCGGCAGCTAAACAGGCTGGGCTAGGCTGGTAGTGTGGGCCAGCCCACCTATCGGGAGCTCAGCAGGTCTCCAAATGAAGCCGGGAATGGGGAGGCTGATGTGGAAGCCTCAAACCCACCTCTCCCCTTCACTGCACCTGGAAGCCTGAGGGAACTCCAGCAGACTGGGCGCAGAAATCCAGAGTCCTCCAGACACGCAGAGAGGCCAGTGAGGGCACCCCAGATCTGCCCAGCTCCTCCTCTGCAGACCTATGGCCAGGCGCGGCAGCTCTATAAACAGGTTTTTAAAATGTAGTTTTTATATACACTGGAGTTCTACACTGCCATAAATAAAGATAAACTTGACACACTTTAAATGGATGTACCTTGAGACTATACTTTTAAATGAAATAAATCAGATATACATGTTTAAATATCACATTGTTTTTCTTGTGTGAGAATCCAAAGGGTAAAGAAGCACTAAAATGGATGATAGCTATTGGGAAGTAGAAAGAAAAATGTTCAAATAGGAAGGGACACAAGGGAGGGAGGAGAAAGGGAAGGAAGGGAAAAGGAAAAAGGAACAGAAGGAAAAAATTAAAAACAAAGTGTTTGTAAATAGGGAGAGGGAAAACGTTTAGAAGGATAGGGGAATGGAGGAAAAAAGAAGAATCAAGACATATTATGTATACATACAAATTCCCAGTGATGACTGTGATCATTATGTATACTAAAACAGTACCAATAAAGTTAATTTTAAAAAATGTAACAACTTTGTATTTTCAAAAGATACTGCTACATCACTGAGAAAGCAAGCCACAGAGAAAAATATCTACAGATAGGTTATAGGGGCTGGGGATTTAGCTCAGCGGCATAAGCACCTGCCTTACAAGCAGGCAGTCATGAGTTCGATCCCTGGTACCGATAAAAAATGAAAAAAAGACAAAAAAAATATCTACAGATAGGTTATAAAAAGACTTATACATAGAATATAAAACCATCTGAAATTCAGTAGAAAACACATTCTTTAGTAGTACATATTTTAATGAGTAAAACTTTTGCAATTTACCAAAAGAAGACACACAGATGACATGCATACCAAATGATACTCAACATCATCTGACAGAAAACACAAAATAAAACTATAGAGATTCTGTAATATACCGGTTATAACTGCTAAAACAGTATAGAAACTCACACTACTGTAGAGTCTGACATTTTCTATCATGTTAAATGTAAACTAAGTTTTGTCCCAGTAATACTGCTCCTATGTATTTATTCAAGAAGTGAATATTTACCTATAAAAAATCTATAGTCAAATACTTGTAAGAGGCTTGTTATATTCATATAATTGTTTACCTTTATAGCAGTAAGAACTTCTTATAGATAGATAAATCTCAAATTCACTGTGCTAAGTAAAAGAATCCGGTATTACTAACTACTGACAGAAAATACATCAGTTTACCAAGGACTGATAGAGTGTGGCCTGACTATAAAATGTAAAGGGGAAATTTTCTGGTTAAAATTCTTTATTCTGTTAATGCTATTGGTCACACTGTTAAAACTCACAGAACTACAAACTATGTGAATTTTACTCAATATAAATAACACATTAAGACACCTGATTTAAAATTCCTAACAATTTACTTACAATAACTTTATTCATATGAGCTAGATCAGTTTTCCAAAAGATCAAATCATCTCCAAAAAACATCTCTAAAATAAAGTATGTACCTGTCTCCAAAAAAAAAAAAGTAAAATTAAAAAACACATAGTGCTGACCTCCACAGTAAGTTGAATCAAGAGTCTTGTGGGTATGAATTGAAATCTATACTAATTTTAAAAAAGAAAACAAACAAACAAAAAGCACCCTGACTCTAATACACTAAAGTATTAAAATCTCTTGGCCAGAGCATAAATTGTTTTTTCTATTTCATTAAATGTGAACTGCTCTGTTTACAGAAATATAAGCAAGAAGCACAACCAAATTTATAAAATGAAATGACACATTAAGTATGACGAGCATGATTTATATAATAGTATCTTAAATACCAGCATCATTGAACATATTCTTTTAAAAAACAGTACATGGACAGATCACTTTTTACACACACACAAGAACCAAAGATAAAATACTTACATATAGGCATAAAAAGTCATAAAAATCCAGAAAAAAATGGGATTTTATTTTATAACATAGACACAGAAAAGGTTTTCTGAGAACCAAAATCTAGAAGCTACAACAGGGAGGAAATTCCTAAAAATCACTAGTTTAAAGTAAACTGCAGGCCAGGGATGTAGCTCAGTGGCACAGTGCCTGCCTGGTAAGCGCGAGGCTGCAAGTTTAATTCCTGATACACACACATATACATACATACATACATACACATATACATACATACATACATACATACAGATAATTGCAAAAAGAGATAAAACCCTACAAAACTAAAAACAGAACAAAGAGAAATATATCTTTGTAACATACATACATATATATAAGGAAACATGACATTTTGCAAATTTAGAAAAAGCTCTTATAAATCATTTAGACCAACAAACCAATTTAAAAATATAAGCAAAGCAAAATACAAATAGAAATAAACTCTTCTTTAGCTCTTTCTTCCACTCTCCAACCTCATCTCCTCTAAACTATTTCAGTAATAAAATTTCCTTCATTCCTTTTAATTTTTCCATTACCAAAGGTCCCAAAAGTGTACCAGTGTATACTATACTAAGACTACCAGAAAGGACAATTCAGAGTTGCACTGTTTTAAATTATTTTTTACAGCAGTAAATTGCATGCAACTTCCAAACATAAAGTGTTAATAATTAATATTTGGTCTCAGGAAGATCTGTATTTTTCTTGATTCAGTCTTTAATTTTGGTCTAAAAAATTTCTTTCCCTTTTGTTTGAACAACAAATTGCAAAATTCTGGAGAAGGATCACTCCTGCAAAGGATATATGAGGTGTATGAAGTCTGGGTCTGTGATAAAGTTGTTAGTTACTGAGATTCTCAAGAACAAAAAACTCATTATTCTGAAGAAATAGTTCCAACTGAAACATTTGATTCTATCTGCAAATGTTTAGATTACTTCAGTAATATTCAAGTTAGAAGAAGCAATATGTTGCTAGGGAAATTTTCCATTTTATTAAATTTTCTTCATAATTCCTCCTCTCAAAGCAAACAATGTATGACTCATTTTCTCTCACCTCTTCTCCTGAAAGGTAATATGCTGCAAGTAGTCCTCCAATAAATCGAATGTTAACTTCAAACACAGACACCTCTGAATTCTGTGAAAACAAAGCAAAAACATTCACAAATATGTTTTACAGTTTTGTGAAATATTTCCAATACATAATTTCTCACAATATGTAAGAATATTTTTTCAGTTTCGGCAACTTCAGGCAACTACAATCTCATCTCTCACTGTTAATATTACTGAAATTCCTCTATTACTAGTTTCCTGGTGCCAAAACCAATGCACCATTTCCATATATCCTACACAGTACTGTGAAATTAATATATTTAAAACTGTTGACTATTGTCAGATCCTCAAGACAGCCTACACTTCTTCAGCACTGGATCCTGAGTTCTGGAATAATACTTTACCTATCAATATTTTTCTTACTAATCACTACAGTACGCTTTTTATTTTTCTTGTCATAAATTTTAAATATTTTCATAATACATATTTTTCTATATATATATACGGACACATATACATACACATGTTAAATATTAAATGAGGAATAAAAAATGGTGGAATTATGAATTACTGCATTAGTATGTTAATAAAACTGGCTTCTACGTAAGAAACTAGTGTACATACAGCTCACATATATCACAATGAAAAACAAATGATTCAGAAAAGTAAAAAAAAAAAAAAAAGAAAAAAGAAAATGTGACACTATAAAAAATTCCTTAAGAAAACAGGTACTGTGGAAGCATAAACTAAATACTACAGTTTTAGTAACCAATGACAGACATGAAATTTCCCTGAATTGCAAGCTATCTATCAGAATAAAAATCATGAACCAAATATAAGGCAAACAAGCTGTAAGAAACTGGTACAAACATAGCACTATTAATATATACATGTAACTATATACAGAGTCTATATGTTCCCATTTAATATGAAAATTGATAAATACATCTGGAGAAATTCTAGTAACATGGAAAGAAAGTAAGTGGCAGAGTATAATCAAAGAATCCACAGAAGCATATAACATAAAAATAATATTCATAATTCATACCATACATAGGCAGAAAACACTATTGACTAGCATAAGTATAATTTTTCCAATAGACAACTTTCATGACACAATGTTTTGATAATACGGTGTTTATCTTACCATACCCCAAAACTAAAATGTTAGTATACAATATTCTCAACCTACAGCTACTGCAGGATACGTATTAGACATTTACTAAAAATAGGCCCCATCACTGTTCAGAAGTGTAGCAGTAACTTACAAAACTAGTTCTTTGCTTTCATTCATACCTTGGCCCATGGTTAAAATGATCATTTAAATCTTACATCAGTTTAGGTTACTGTGGGAGACCGCCAAGCTGCACTCTCCAAAGAAATGAAGCCCTTTGCCTTGATCTTTACCTGACCTTTACTTCAACCCTATTCACCAAGATATGCAGAGCTGGTTATCTAGAAGCATATGTTCCCTTAATTGGCCAAAAGGATGTGATCAAGTCTGGTTGAGATGCCAATGCTTCTCACTGCAATACATGAGCAAGAGGTGACCTCTTCGACCCCCTTCCTTCATGGCTGGAATGGGGGCTTGGAATGGGGGCCGTGAGATTCCAGAACTAAGACACAAGACATCATCTCAGCTGAGGCTTATGAGACTCAAAAAAATGACACCTCCTAGCAGTAAAAGTACTAGCCTTGTACACATCAAGCTGTCCACTGCATTGCTAACTGAACGACCTCTGTGCTCTTTTTCTCCTCACATCCAGTGCTGGCAAAGTTCCTCTTCCCTAGAACTGTGCCACAACCCACCTGCTTGACTGACAGGAATAAGTCATGACCTTTTGGACTCGTGGCTCTTTGTTCCATAGAGAGCACTGGGTCATCCCAGAGCTCCTCTTCTGCAGAACCTTCTTTCTTTTTCTTTATTTACATCCATGTGCCATACTGCCGGGTGGGAGACCTAAACCCTCTGCAGGGGTTTCAGTAGGTCACTATTCTGTGCTAACCTTTACAATGGCCACTGGTTATACTCAAGAGTAAAATGATCAGTAAGACACAATATGCTCGGATTCCTCACAGCCTTTCCAACACCCCTGCTACTAAAATCCTTTGGATTCACTCTATAGACATATTTGCTATAGCAAGAATTGTCTTACATGTTTTTACATGTTACCTTCTTCTCTTGATAAATGAATCACTATCATTTCCTACAGTTCTCTGAGGAAATATAATACTAGAAACTTTTCTGCCTACCCACTATGAGTAATCACCTACCAGTAATATCCTTTACCCTTATTTCCCCAATTACAATTCGTTATCATCTGAGTACTATATAATTACTTATAAAATTACTATCTTCCCTCACTAGAGAGAAAGAAGTTGTTCTACAGGCAAAGAAGGGAAAAGTGGGAAAAAATGCATTCCTGGAAGGTGTAATAACTGAAGATCTTCTGAAGCTCATGAAAACATAAATCCTCAGTGTGATGAAATATTATGAATCTTTTAAAGAACAGTCTACACAAAGACATGTGGTAATAGAATAGTAGAACACAGTAAAAAGAGAAACATGAAACTAGTAACAGACCATTCATTCAAAATGAGATAGCATATTTTACAATAGCATAGCAGAAAGACAATTAGCCATGACCTCAGCCTTTTAGCTGAGAAAGTAACCTCCAATTCTGTTCTCAACTGTATCTATTGATAGATAACCTCACATCCACACACACATGATATTCCGTAAGTCTCTTCTCAGAAATGTCTCCTTAACAAAGAATTGTTCAAAAGTCACCCCATGTATACTGGCAATGCCCCACCACCACTTTTTTTTTAATCCTATTTCTTTCATTACTCTCCACAGCACTTACCGCCATCTAACATACCATACAAAAATAATTGTCCAGTGTTTTTCTCCCAACTCTGAAATATAAACTCAAAGAGATACAATTCTGTATTGTTCATTACTACATTCACAGAACCAGAACAGTTCCTGCTGCAAAAAAAAAGGTGTTCAATACATGTATTTATCTATTCATTACTTAATTTGAAATATTAAATACAATTTGAGACCAACTAAGACACAATTACAGTACACATAAGACAATAGAGTTATGAGCCAAGTTAAAGCACTCCAAGATTCTTAGTTACTCAGAAGAAGGATAACGAAATTGACTGCAGTACTTTTAAACTTTGGTAAGTAGCTACATAAAACTTTAAAAGTATCCCCAAAGTGACTAAAAATGAGTAAACAGTAAACTACTGGAGGAAATATTAAATCCTCTACTTAAATTGTATCTGGTGGTGTCTGATATTACATAAATGGCCAATTCTTTCCAATATATAAATTAAAAGCAATCCTCATCAAAATTTCAATAGTTTTCCAGAGTCTGAAAGAAGAAAGGACTGAGAACTAAAATAATTTTCTCACAGTTCTACCTCAGCTATCAAGATTCAAATACAGTTATTAAGCTTCTTGTACATAGGGAGTTCACTGTCAGCGTGGACTATAGTGTGAGATCTTGACTCAAAAAACCAAAAATAAATACATCAATGAATGTTTACATACGTACATACATACATACTATACCTAAGACAGTTTAGTACTGATGCAAAGATAAAGACAAAAGCCAATGGAAAAGAAAAAATTCGTAACAAATACATGGTATACATAATAGGAGGAAAATATTATGGTATACATAAATAAGAGGAAGAGAAATGGTAATAGGATCAACTAATGATTACCTATGTCATCTGACATACAAGAAAACCAATTCAATATGCATTGAAAACTAAATGCGAAAGCAAAACTTTAAAATGTTTTCCCAAATAAAATATAAGAATATAATATCCTCAAATAAAAGAATATATTCTTGTGGATTTAGAACAGAAATTTCACAAACTAGGTATTTTTTTTTAAAAAGCACAATCTATAAGGCCAACCTAAGTACACTGAAACAACAATAACCAAAAAAGACTATATTTTTTACATTCTCTGTACACTGAGATGGGGCGATATGAAAAGCTATCCAGTGGCATACAAGCAAAATTAAAGTGACCAACTCCTAAGTGTTCTTAAAAAACAATCACAGCTCTCAACTATTTCTTCTTCCTTTCTACCAAATGAAGGTAGACAAGAGACCTGGATCTTGAAAAACCATTTTTTAACAGTGAGGTCACAGCTTTACACAAACTGAAGTTGACAAGAGCAAGTAAGACAAAGGGTCCTAGGTCCTTGAGGACCAAGGAGTTACTCAAAGCACTGCTTATCTCTGTACTTGACTTACATGAATGATAAACAAACACCTATCTTGTTTCAGTTGTTCTAGGTTTTCTGTCACTCACTGCCAAACCTAAAAGTGATAAAAATTCTAATTAAGATACATCAATGACTATGTCTAGCATTGAAAATGTTAAAGTAACACAAAAGATAAACAGTTTTCTCTAATTAGCACCAGGCAAATCATGAGAAAGGAAATACATATGGATTGAAGTCACAATTTAAATAATGAACAGTGCCAGGGAGAAAAGCTGAGAGAGGAGGAGTGGAAGGTACTACAGTCCAAAGGAACACAGCCAGTACAAACATCACTGAAGATGATAATGAACATGACAAGACAGTCCATAAATCTTTTAGTAAAGACCAGTAATCATGAAAACAGAGCACTTACTATATACTAGATTATTTCAAATAATTCTCACAATATTACGGTGGTATAACAATTTGATGATAGGTTTAGGAAAAAGAAAAAGGAAGTTCTCCCAAAGCCTAACAGCTGTGCTGGGCTTCAAACCTAGGCAGTATCACCATGAAAAAGTGCTGGAAAGATGGGCACTAACCTAAATATGATGGTTCATTAAAGCTGAGTCAAATCATTACATCTTTAAAAATCCACCTTATTATTTAAGAAGGAGTTTAGAGTTTTTCGATGCATCTAACTCATTGTTCCCCATCACCACTACAATTATTACCCTAATGCACTTAACATAACGCTTCACATGCTAAGGATGTAAAAAGAAGACAGTGAGAACAGGCATATGTTTTATGCAAAAAAATAACAACTGACAGAAGAAACAGGACTTGGTATTGAGATTTCTTTACACTGCTAGTACCATGCTTAAAACTTTGTTACTCTCTTAGGCCCACTAGACATGCTATCACAACATACCATAAACTGGGTAGCTGCCAAACAGAAACTTATTTCTGACAGTACTAAGGATAGGAAGTCTAAGATAAGGTCCCAGGAGGTGATCTTTTAAGCGCCGACTTTCTGGTTCACAGATACCTTTTCACGGAGCCTCACAGTGGCAGCTGTGTTACAAGGGCACTAATTTCACGCACCAGGCTCTACCTTCCAATACTACCATAGTACCATTAGGCATCAACATAGGAACCTGGTAGTAACAAAATGTCTTTCCATAGTAAATCTATAAGATTTTTATACTCACCACACTAAAATCAAGGTTGTCTTCAATCCACTTTTGCCCATCAAGGAATTCATCATGAAGTCCCATGATATAAAGGGTATCCAAAGCATCCACGATGGTAGCACCCATCTGTGAACTTCCTATATTTGGATGTGAAAGTATCATTACAATTATTCTCTCCAAGTCTATTATATGTAATATTTACATACAATTAAAGAATATACCGACCCAGTATCATTCACTTTTCCATGCAAACACTAGATGATATACACAATTTAATATATTTTACTAAGATGAAATATTAATAATTAATAGAAAAATAAAGGAAAATTAGAAAGTACAATTCACCTTAATTTTGGCCTGCTTAGAATGTAAGATACCTAGTTAACAGAGATAGGAAAAAAGAAAAATTAGAAAAGGTTTAAAGAAAAAGGGAGTTATTGAAGAGGACAAGCTAAGTCACAGTACAAGCTCAAATTTACAGAAAGGGCAAAAAACATTGTGTTTGTTTATTTGTTTGTTTTCTGACTATTGATTTGTGATAGATGTTCCACATCTACAATTCTTTTCACTCAAAAGTTCTTTCAGACGACGCCATAAGCTTTGGCCAATTGTAAAATGTAGTCATCTGATTCAGCCCATCCTGCGAATGGTTTCGCAGACAGCATAGGTTTTAAACCGGCCACTAAACCTGCCTGTGATTTTGTCAGCCTCAGCCACTTTCATCTGAAGGATGCCTGGTCCTTAGCACCACTGATGCAGCTGCTGGCAGAGTGTCCCACAGCACATACTCACTGGCATGAACTCACCAGCACCCTTGTGCATACTGAGGCCACACCTTGCCTACTCCACCAGGAATGTGAGCAGAGCAAGGCACAAAGACCAGTTTAAAAAATAATAAATGTAAAACAAAATACAGAACCATGGTGGAACAAAAGTAAAATAATCCTTAAAATTAAAAAGCTGGTAAATCATCCTGAGAAAAAGAAATCATTTTTAAAGTCACCCTGACTTATTATAAGCATAAAAAGATTCTCAGCAAAATATAATTAAAACTTTATACTAGTTAAGATGAACAAATAAAAGCAATTAATTTCAACATTCTACTAAGAAAGCAAGAAAAACCAGCTTAACCAACAAAGTAGAAGAATTAAAAGAACTAAAGACTGAAATCAGTTTTTTAAAATGACTTTCAAGAAGCAGAATTCTTAATTTTCATTAAATCCAACTCACCATTTTTTTTTCTCTTAATGTGTTTTATGTTCCAAAAATTCCCTGCTTACCTCAAGGTCACAAAGGTTTTCTTGAATTTTTCCTAATGGAAGTTTTATACTTTTACTTTTTATGCTAAGATCTGCAATACCTTTCAAGTTGCTTTTCATATACAACACTGAAGTAATAGTCAAGTTTCATTATTTTTCAAATAAATATCCAGTTGATCCAGCACTATCTGTCAGGCAAACTATCTTTTTCTTCACTGATGTACTTCAGTATTTTTGCTGAAAACTGATTAAGTAATTATGTGGAACTCTGTTTCATTCTTTTCCCCTGATGGCTATAACTAATCCTGATGTTAAAACCATACTGTTGGACAGGAGAGGTGCCCCAGTGGCATAGAACCTATCGTCACACTTTGACCCCCACCACTATAAAACAAAAAAGACAAGGATATGGAAAGAGAAACCAAACTATACTGTCTTCATTACTGTAGTTTTACAGTATTACCTAGAATCAAAAGGTAAACATTCTTGTACTCTGCTCTTCTTTTTAAAGACATATTTTAGTTATTCTAAATGCTTTGTATTTTCACACAGCAGTTTTAGAATTGGAAGCCTATTGTCATTTGTCTTGGGTTGCTTTAAATCTAAATATGAATTTAGAATATTTAGTATTCTAATTCAATCTCCCCATGAACCCTCTTTAAATCCTTTTAACTTTCTCGTGATGACAACTTATAATTTCAGTATATAGGTTCTACACATATTTTGTCAAATTCACTCTGATACAATTCATGTTTGTTATTATGGGTACAAGTAACACTATGTTAAAACTGTATTTCTTGTTGTTTATTGTTGGTATATAGAAATATAATTGATTTTGTGTAGTTAACTTGTATCCTATGACTTTTCTGTCAGTTTGAGTGACAAATGAATTAAGAGACTTCTAAAGAAGACACTAGATTAGGAAGTCACTAATCTCATCCAGTGGATCAATCTATGGATGAATTCATAGCTGAATCAGCTATTAGGAGGTAGTGCCTATTTGGGAAGTCTGTAATGGGGACAAACCCTTGGGGACTACATCTGGGCCTTGGCCTCTTCTGGTTTTTCTCTTAGCTATTTGATTCCTGGATGCTATGAATTGAGCAACTTTCTTCCACTGTATTCTTCTGTCATTGTGCTTCTTGGGCCCAACAAACCTCTGAAAATAAACCCCTCATTCCTTAAGTTGGAGGTATCAGACATTTTTGTCCCAGCAATGGGACAAAAGCTTACTAATAAAACCTTACAAGATCTATTTAATCATCTGAATTTGTATGCCATTCTTTAACATTTTTTTTATAACAATCATGCTGACTACAAGGAAGGGCCGCTTTACCTCAGTAATTGACAAAATACCAGAGAGAAAATAATTTAGAATAGAGAAAACATGAACTTCCTATTTGCCAATAAGAGTGTAACTGAAATCAACATACCATTCCACACAATAATATCCATATCTTTCCAAGCAAAATGGAAAATTCACCAAGGTACAGCATATTCTGGATCATAAAGTCCTATTTGATATCAAACAAAGTATATCCTCTGATCACAATAGAAACAGAATTAGAAAATGGTAACAAAAAGACAAAGGAAATTCTCCAAGTACTTAAAAATTAACCTTCTGAAAATTATTTATATTAGTAGTAAAAGGGGATTATTACAAGAACTACCACAGACATTCAAATAATAACAAAGGACTACCTCAATGAACTCTACACACAAAATTAACGAATCAGATAAAACAGAAAGACTTTTCAAAAACCAAACACCAAAATGAATCCAAGTTGAAACAGACAAACTGAACAGTTCTTACAATTAGAGAAAATGAATCCGTAAGCCTTGGTCAGTGATGGCAAACATTTTAGCATTTTTAATCATACAAATAGCCCACTGCAGGACACATACCATAGGTCTACCAGTGCAGCTCTAGGTGAAGATCGTTTCACTGAAGAATTAGATCAAATATTTAAGGAAGAAAATAAAACTAATCCTAAACAATCTGGTCCAGGAAAACAAAATACAGAGAACACCTTCCAACTCATTTTATGAGGCCAGCTATGTCTTGACACCAAAATAAGAGAAAGACAGCAAGAAGTATGGAATATCCCTTCAAAACATGAAAGCAAAAGTCAAAGAAGAGATTAGCAAATAAAACCCAGTGAAGTCAAAAATAATTAAAAGTATTTATACATACAGACACATATATCTGTATGCATGAAAAATAAAAAACACAAAAAGCACTACAAAAATCTAAGAACATTCTTTCCCAAATCAAAATCCCTTCTTTCAAATGCAAAAAGAATGTTCCTTAACAAACTTTTCAATTCTGTACAACAGTTAAATAAAAACTAATTTTTTTACTCTATTAATTACTGTTGCAATAATTTGCATCAATATTAATGTACAGCACATCCTTCTCCCACTTACAAGTCCCAGGGGCAGAGTCTAAGTAGGCAAAAACCATATTATCACAAAACTCAACCAGAAAAAACAAGAAACAGTGAATCTTTTAAGAAGATACCTACTGAGAAACCCAAGTGCTTCTTTTCTACAAGAGTCTCCTCTACAAATGCAGTAATACTAAGATATAAAACTTCAAATAGCTGCAGTCATGCTTCTACAAAGCCAGCTTGAAGATATCAACACATAGAGGAAAGAGATAAAGAAAAGGAGTTTAGCTGCACATCTGATCTATCCCAAGACTTAATTGAGCTGACTGAATTACCTTTTCAGTTTAAACCACTTTAAAAGATTTTCTGTTACTCGCACATACAGAGTCCTCTGATGCCAAGGACAAACCAGATACAAGTTAGAGTAACACTGATTTTAGTTACCATATAAAAGAATTATTTAATTATCAAAGCTTAAAAAGGAAAAACAAACATGTTTTAAGTTAACCTAAAATATTTGGAGTAAAAGTTCAATACACATCTATATGTTCTTATAGTCACGGAGATGTACTTTTAAAAGTTCCTTCTATGATTGCGATTCTACAAAGCATATTGAATTTGGATGTCAAATGAGACAGAGAACTACCACCCTTCTCTTAAAGACATTTCATTAAAAGAAAAAAAAAATAAAAAGGTTTGAAAATTCTAAAATTATAATCACTATAAAGAATATGAAATGAGCAAAAGGAATAGTGTAGGAAAAAAGTCTTAAACATTAAAAATTAATCTTGTAATAAACTACTTCTATACAAACAAAAGAAAAAACTTATAATAAAGGACCTATCCCTTTTTAGTTTATTTAGCTGGGAAAAGATTTTAACAACTAAAAAAATGAATAGAGGGTAGAAACACCTAATTTTGATTACTGAAGATTCCAAACACTGCAATTTGCATTTCCTACATTTCACTATTAATTTTCTTAAAATAGGTATTTTTAATTAGTTAAACTTAATGAGTTGTTAACCTTTAAAATTTAGAAAAGTGGGACTAATATGTATTTGATACATGATAACACATTAGAAGTTTCAAGAAATATAGAAAAAGTAGAAAATTAACATTCACTTCTTATTTCAATGTTTAAAGTGCAATCCTATAAGAAAAAAAGGCCCACAGTTTACTGCAAAGCCTAATGTAAAAGGATAGTATAAATATAAAAAGTAGGACCTAAAGTGGAGACAAATATAAATGTATAAATGAAGAAGAGAAGAGAGATAGGAGGAGAAAGGATTGGGAGGAAAAAGAATCAAGATACATTATGTACAAGTACAAAGTCCCAGTAACAAATGTGACCTTCATAGATACCTAAAATGTACCAATAAGATGAATTTTTTTAAAGTAGGACCTAATTTTAATTAACTATTAAATACAATGTTTTTTGGTTTACTGATGACTCTATGTGATATCCACAAAATGATGGGAGCTGTTTAATCTGTAACCTGTGCAGAACAAGTATACTTTATTTCATTATATGGTAATTGCTCAACTAAGTATCAGGGGACCTCTAGGAGTCACTGATTACCACATAAATGAAATTATTCCTGTTTTCTACCACAGTATCTCTCAAATCCAGGAGAAAAAAATTTAAGTTATTTTCTTTTTTGACAGAATATAAGAAACAACAAATTATAACAGAAATCACAGCGTTAGAAAAATTCTTCGTCTCACAAGAAAAAATAGTTGTTTGAATTACTGTAATAGTATATTCAAATTAATAAAGAAAACTGCACTACATTTGACTATATAGGTGATAATGTTTCTTGCTACACTACTGAAATTTTCCTAGCTTTACTGTCATTATATATCTATCACATGAAGAAGCATTTCAAAGTGGAGGAAAGGAGAGAAGACCAAAAAGAATACCAACCTGACAATTCTCAAAACCTAGTATTGAAGTTAGCAAAATGTGTTAATTTAGCTTTTAGATTAAAAACAAAAGACTGACCTCAAAAGCAGGAGAACAAACTCAAGATGAATATAAGTCCTCCTCAAACTTCCAGTCACGGAACACCATTACCCTGTGTTCCACACTAACTATGAATGTACAGCGCAACCCACTCAGTTCACTGCATCACCAGATCCTCTCCATTCACATAACCCATCCTATTCATCAATTCGTCTTACACGTGTTACCTTTTTTATAATGCATATAGCACTGATGGAATTTCCTAGCTGTTCCCTCTGTCTCTACAATGTAAGTATCAGAAATAGTACTGTGCTGAAAGGAAAAAAAAAGAACGAAACTGCAGTACCTACCTACTGACATTAAAAACACTCAGAAAAAAACTTCAGAACAGTTTGCACATCAATAAATAACTACCACGTAACTATTCCAAAGCAGCTAGAACTAAATCCTGATGTAACTGCAAAAATACATAAATAAATGTTCAAATTACAGCTCCACAGAATTTAGATAGTGCTTTTAAATAAAGTGATTTTAGATAGTGCTTTAAAAAATCAGATTATGTTTTAAGACATGGAGGCAGAAAGTAGTTAGAAAAAACAGACTTACCAAATATGTTAGTAGAGTGTCCTTTCCTTGCAATAGGTCTGAGTTCATTATGCCCCCATCCATATGTTCTGTAATTATCCCAGGCATGTTTCATCATCTAAGAGGAGAATTGTAATTCATCCATTTAAATTATTCAGACTGTTATATTTCATATAATTATGGGTTCCAAAACTATATCCTACATTGCATATTATCCGATAAATGCTTGTATTTGTACAAAAACACATGCATGCTTATCCAATAGAAAAAAATTAAGTATATTATTTTTCTTGAGGAAGGTGTCTATTTGACATTCGTTCCTTTTAAAAACTGCCAGTGCTCTAGGTAACAACTTCCTTTCTTTTACTGTGATTATGACAGAGCTTTCAATCAACAGACCTTGCTTTTATCACTTAATTCAGCTTGGTTAGAAAAATCCAGAGATCAGCAAAATTCAACTCTATTGTGGCAGCACAACAGCACCCTAAATAATGGATATAGTTATGCTCCAAATAAACTTTACTTTTAAAAAACAGGCAGCTTGCAGGATTTGGCTCACAGGTTGCAGTTCACCAATCCTTGCCCTAGGCAAAGTGACTAAGTAAGAATAACTCAACTAGAGACAATCAAGTCTTTTTCACACAGAGTGTTGTATACACTGGGAAAAAGAGGGACTATCTTATTTTGTGATCTCAAGGAATATACCATAATCCCTGAGTTGATACTGGCGAAAGGAAAAAAGAGACAAATATATACTACTAACAATTATGACCTACAAACCTAAATTCAGTCAAAGCTGAATCCCTAGTTGAGAGCCGGTAAGTGAATAACATATTTTTATATCACCTAGTTTGTGTTCAATTTCTTACAACCCAAGAAGTCCAAAACTAAACAATGCAAGTGTATTTACTCATATATCAGCTGAATTATGTAGTGATATACCGGGAGTATCAACGTCATATTCAAGCCAGGCATGGTGACACACACCTGTAATCCCAGCACTTTGGAGGGTAAAGCAGGAGGACTACTGCAAGTTTGAGGCCAGTCTGGGCTGCAAAATGAAGTCAAGACCAGCCTGAACTGCACAGGAAAACCTTGTCTCAAAAAGACACATGCCCATGCATGCACACACAAAGCTCATTTAACAGCATACTATTCATCCAAAACATTCCCAAATGAAAATTCCACACTGATGTATTTCAAGAATGTGTGTGTGTGTGTGTGTGTATAAAATTCCTTTTAAAAAATTTGTAATAAGAAAATACCACTCCACGACAAAGTGCAATGTAACCCAGGAACCTAAGACTAATTTAACATTCAAAAACCAATCATAATTCACTATGTTAACAGGTAAGGGAAAAATCATACAATTATCTAAACAAAAATATACATAAAATTCATTCATTCATTGTAAAAATTCTTACTAAACCAGAACTACAAAGAACCATTCTCATTCTAATAGATTTCTCAAAAAAAAAACCTATTAATAAATCGTTCTTAACAGTAAACTAAATGTAAAAAAAAAAGGCAAATGTTTAAGCTCTAAAGTCAAGGACAAATCAAGTATACATTCTCAAAATTTCTTTCAAACCATCTCCTAAAAAGCCTTGCCAGTACAAGAGGAAAGAAAAGAAAATAAGAGCAAAGGAAAAGCACCTCTATTCATAAAGAATATATGTAGAAGGAAACATCCCCAAAATCTAAGAAGCCACTAAAATTAATAAAGAACCTTAGTAAAGTTACAGTAAGTTTAGCAAACGAAACTGAGTACATTTCTATATGCTGAATTCTGTAAGTACTAACAAATCACGAGGCCAAGAGGTTTCCTAAACACTCATATTTATCTATGTGAATTATCAAGTATATGAAAAAGTATTTCAAAGCATTATAGTGGCATCTATTAAAAAAAGCAAGTTAAATTTCTGGGAAAAAAAAAATCTACCAAGGTGTCCAGAACAATGTTCAAAGAAAAATGCTGAAACAGCCTATATATCAAATAAAGACTTCAGAGATAAGGCAGAAATCAGAGGAAAGCTTTGTTTTAACTACATCACAGGCAAGATTTTACAATAATTCAAAAGGGTAAGTTTAAAATATTTGCTGTCTTTTCATCATTAGAATATATGTAAAATATTAGACTATTTGGGTTAAATTTTATCTTGTTTTATGACAAACACATCTTTGGAAATACTGTTAGTGCTACTACATTCTAACAAAATCTTTTCTTCGCTAGTCAGTACAACTGTATACTCCATCCAAAACTGTAAGAATTCTTACTAACAAAGTGTAATTCAATATTCACTAGGTTTTCCTCCCTCTAGAACTCTACATGTAATTTTTAGAATAACAAGTTGAAAAACTTTCAACACCAAATAGAATTTAAGAAATTTTAAGATCTTTCTTCATTTTCAATACATAAAAACTCTTTATAAAACTATGCTTTTTAAAATGTAGTTATTCATTAAATACTGATACACAGCAATAGATTTTTTTAACTTATTAGTACACCCCTTGTGTGTCACTGGTACATGTACAAAACACATTTTAATTGTTTTTCTCATCCCTATTCCCTCCCCTTCTTCCTATATCTATCCATCTCTTCATCCTCTTCCTGTTATTTTTTTCCACCTTCCTTCATTGATCTTTTGATCCCTTTCCAACCTGAGAATAATGTATCATCCTTCCTATTTTCTTTTATTTTGCTCTCCAATTTTACTCTACATTTCTCAGTAGAGAAACCAGAAAATATTCAAACTTGTGTGTCTGATTTATTTCAGCTGACAGTATGGTCTCAGGGTATATCCATTTTCCTACAAATGACTCAAGTTTATCTTTCTTTATGACAAAGTAATATTCTACTGTATAAAAAAAAAACAACATTCTCTTTATCAGTTTATCTGTTGGTGGACATATGGGTCAATTCCAAGATATAATGATTTGTGCTGCTATAAAATATGCATTCTGGCAAGCACAGGGTCATGAGTACTGGGATTGATCTCCAGTACCAAAAACTAAATAAATAAAATCGGTATGCATATATGGCTATAATATGATACCTTTAACTCTTTCGGGCAGATACATAGAATTAGATAGCAGGATCAAATGGAGTATTTGAAGAACCTCTACACTGATTCCCATAGTGGTTGCACTACTTTATATTTCCACCAATAGTATAAAAGGGTTCCTTTTTCCCATAAGCTCTCTAGCATTTGTTATTATTTGATTTCCTATTTATGCCCATTATTTCCAGGTTAAGATAGAGTATCAGTGTTGCTTTAATTTGCATTTCTCTAACAGCCAGAAATGTTGAGCTTTTCTTCACGTATTTATTGGCAATCTGTACTCCTTCATTTAATTTGTAAATTTTTTTATCTGGGTCTTTTATTTCAGGGGGGTAATTATTTTGTGTTCTCATAGATATTAATCCTCTGTCTGAAGAATCACTGGCAAAATTTTTTTCCATTCTGTAGGTTGTCTTTTCACTCTGTTGCTTCTTTTGCTGTGCAGACTTTTTTTAATTTAGTAAGATTCCATCTGCTCTTTCTCAAAACTATTTCCTGTGAAACGGAGTTCTGTGCAGAAATCCTTATCTATACCGTGACTTCAAGAGTGTTACCAACTTTGTTCTTCAGAGGTTAAGTGTTTCTGGTTTAACATTTAGTTCTTTGATGCATTTTGATTTCAGTTTAGTACATGGCAAGAGTTTGGGTGTAGATTCAATCTTCTGCAGGTGTATAACTACTATTTTCCCAACACGATTTACTAAAGAGGCTATCTATCCTCCAGTGTGTATTTTGGGCTGCTGTGTCAAGGATCACGTAATTGAATGTACCTGGAGATTTTTCTGCAAACTCTATTCTATTCTACTGATCCTAAAATCTGTTTTTGTGCCACTGCCATTCTGTTTTTAACACAGTAGCTTTACCATAGAACTTCAAGTCCAGAATTGTGGTACCTTTCACTTAGCTCTTTTTAGCCAAGATTGCTTTTGTTATTCTGGGTGTTTTGGTTCCATATGAATTTCAGAATTATTTTTGCCAGTTTTGTGAAGAACGCTGTTGGAATTTTGATTGGGATTGTATTAAATATGTTTATCAATTTTCCAAGTCTGGCCATTTTGACAATACTGGTTCTGCCAATCCGAGAACAGGGAATATCCATTTTTCTGCTGCCTCCTTCAATCTCCTTTTCAGAGTATTACAGTTTTCCCTTACAGTGTTTCACTTCCTTAGACTAATCCTTAAGTACTTTATGTTTTTATGCTACTGTGAATGATATTTTTCATGATTTCTTTTTCATTAATACTTACAAGAATGTTACTGATTTGTTGTGTATTGATTTTTGTCTCCTGCTACCTTACTGAATTTGGTTATTAATTCTGAGAGTCCTCTGGTGGTTTTGGGGGTATTTTCTATGTACAGGATCATATCATTTGCAAATAATGATAACTTGACTTCTTCCTTTCCTACACAAAACCTTTTTTTTTTTTTGCCTAATTGTTCTCGCACAATGTAAAACTCACATCAACAGACACAAGAACAAAAATCACATGATCATTACAACAGAGGCAGAAAAAAGGCTTTGACAAAACCCAACATGCTATTATAATTAAAACACTAAATAAAATAGGTATAGAAGGTCCTTATCTGAATCTGATAAAAGCCATTTATGACAAACCTAGTGTCAACATCATATTAAATGGGAAAAAACTGAAAGTTTTCCCTCTAAATCAAGAACAAAACAAGAATATCCTCTATTATCACTCCTGTTCAACACAGTACTCAAAATATGCTATTAACGTGCAGTACTGTTGAGGAGTTTCATAACATATTCTTTAAAAGATGGTGAATATAATGCTGGCTATACAGAACAGGGTCCCCAATTCTACCCCCATGCATATCAGTCCATAGCCTGTTAGGAACCAAGCTTCAAAGAAAGAATGACCAGCAAGCAAGTAAGCTATGCTTAATCTGTAGTCACAGCCAGTCACTCCCCATCAGTCTCATTACCACCTGGCAGAGGCATTAAATTCTCACTCTATTGTGAATTCTACACGGTAGAGATCTAGATTGTGTACTCCTTATAAGAATCTAATGCCTGAGATATAAAGTGGACCTGAAGCAATAATGCTAGACTTGGGAGTGGCTGCAAATACAGATTAACAACAGCACAAAAGTTTGATTCTAGAGACCATAATCAATTGCTTAAAGATTCATATCAAAACTCTAACAGTGACAATTTAAGCTACATCTGGTGACAAACTATACTGGCAAGTGAATTGACACACTGCAATTGTACAACTGCATTTGGTGGCAGGATTTAAATCACTACCTGACCCTCAAATTCACTTGTAGCCTGTCAATTATTTACCACTTGCATCCACCCTTCTTTCCTATTGTGAGCACTTGTCTCACAGTTTTTCTAAGCCCACACACCAACTCAAGTCAAAATGAGTTAACAATGAGTATCACTGGAGAGCATCTTTGAAAGGAGGGATTATCCAATTGGTGAGACAGCAGAAAACTAAAACTTCCAACAAAAAGAAAGTTCACTTAAAAGAAAATACTCCTTGTGGAAAAAAATATATATATAATATCTACTTGTATTACAGATTCTATTAGTTCATGGAAAGAAACTGTGATTGCTCATAATGTTTGATCTGTTTTGCATGCCCATATCTTGTAATCTGAACAACTATTTTGAAGATAACAATATGTAATATAGAGACTATTGTTAACTTTCTCTCAGCTTATTTTGAAGTCCTATATTGCTTTGTTTTGTCTTTATTATTTTGGCTTTTGGTTGTTGTCTTTTTGTCTTTTTGAGACAGGTTTTTGCTATATCATTCAGGCTGGTCTTGCACTCATTTTGTAGCCCAGGCTGGCCTGAAATTCGAGCAATCCTCCTGTCTCCCAAGTGTTGGGATTACAAGTGTGTGCTACCACCCCCAGTAGTCTAATCTCTTTAAATTAAAAAAAAAAAAAAAAAAAAAAAAACTCCTTAAGTTATTGGTTCATTCCAACAGGTAATTCACATTTTCCAAGCCTGCTCTGTATGACATGCTGTAACTGACTATTCAAGGAAGCCGTACAACCTTCAAAATTGCTTTGCCACACAGAGACTGAGCACACTGCATTAAGACAAGCCTCTGAAGTTTCTCAAAATTAAAAAAAAAAAAAAAAATACAAGAAATGTAAATATTGAAAATCAGGGGGCTGGGGATTTAGTTCAGCGGCGTAAGCGCCTGCCTTGCAAGCAGGCAGTCATGAGTTCGATCCCTGGTACCGATAAAAACGAAAAAGACCAAAAAAAAAAAAAAAATCAGGTCTTCCTCAAATGTGTCTGCACTAAGAACATAATTTTAGTGCGTCACCTCATTGCTAAAGCTATGAAGTCCTTTACTACTGGTAAACAGCCCACTGCTAATGATATTTGTCATGAACCTTTAGGAAAAGTTGCAATTCAAAAAGTATCGTATTCTTTCAGCTAGCACCATAACTAGGTAAGTTGAACAAAAGCAGAGGATATTCAGTCACCAATGATATGAATCCAGATTGAGGAGTCTACTGATGTTGACAGCAAGGCAACAATACTCATTTTTTTTGTGATACACTTACTATGTGCATGATGATTTGTTACATGGACTTTGTGCCAATCAATCACAGCTACAGAATGATCCCAGTCTTTGAATGATAACCAAATCAGGAAAACTGTATATACACAAAACAGGAGCTGCCATGACTGGATAACTTTCTAGTTTCACTAGTGGGGTTAAACAGGGTGCTTCTGAACATGAATTTACACTCTATGCTATCCAAAGTAACTCTGGCCAGCCAAAAAAATGTCTCCTGAACTTAACCGGATTTTGCAGGATATGATTAAAATTATCAACCACATTAAACCACATAGCTGTTATGGTTGATACACTTTATCACCTTAAGCAGTTTAGAAGTTTAATGGAGAGACTCAGCAGGGAGCCAGGGTTCTTTGTATGTATGCTCATTCTATGCAAATGAGGGCAAGAAGATTCTGTGAGTGCTATACCAGCCCTAAAAGGGGGATGGGGGACAGCCAGCTGTGTACACTATGAGTCAGGAGAAGAGGCATATTTTCTCCTTTTGCTCTGGTTGTTGCCTTGAAGTGCTGCCCCATTGCCAACACCACCCTGCCTTGGAGCCAGCTATTATGGACTGAAACTTCCAAAACTGTAAGATAAATAAATCTTCCCTTCCCTAATTTTGGGCACCAGGTATTTTGTCTCAACAAGAAGAGAAAAGTAACCAAGACAAGTGTTGTACACTAGCAAAAAGCTTCATTATATTTGTATTATACCAAAATACCTGTAATGTGGCCTACTGTTCTATATGCGCGTTTCTTTTCCTCTAGGTGACCTAACTGATATGCTAATCAATGCTCTCCTCCATAAAGAACTGTAAATTCCTGCGAGACTTCTCTGTCCTCTCCTAAGGGAAACAAAGGTCTTCCTCATTCCTTAGCGGATCAAGGATTTTCTCATTTCCTTATCCAAGCCAATGACCTTTACTTTGTGAACTGTGATATGTACTGAAGCGTGGCAAGTGTAGAGAAATGACACACACAGCTTTTGCAATCTCCAGCTGCACTGTGTCACTGGGCTGAGGATAAAATAAATCAGAGCTGCTTTTTAAAATATGTTTTTGCCTCATTTTTTGAACTCGAGCTTGGAGGCTCATTTGTGGATTACAAGAACAATAGCCTTAACTCACATGTATTTGCCCAGCTCTGTGAGGAGATGGACTCAAGAGTACACATCTTTTCTCTTACCCACAAAAGTGAGACAGTTTTCAAAAGGTAAATCACTGGTGACTTTCTGAGTTAAATGACCACTCCAAAGATTTCTTTTAAAAAAACAGTCACCACTGGTAGCATGTTCTGGTGACACAGAATGGAATATAAAACTTGCTTACCTGTATGACATATTCAGTCTGCTCAGAGAACAATGACTGTGGTCAAGTCAACAGATAAAGTGCATGCAGTCAAAAGCAAGCTGGAATTATTGGGGCATCGAATGAACATTAAGATGTTCTACTTGTTTTAAATAGTCTTTTGAAAAAGACTGAAAAAGGGCTTTCTTTCTTCCAGCTGGTGCATCATCGTCTATCTCAGTTTTCAAAACCATTAAAGCATTATTTAACCATAAAGATCCCCAAACTGGAATGGACCCACAACCCATGTGTAAATAAGCTAGGTGAACTGACTTTGTGCAAAGAGGATCAAGTGCTTGTGATCACAGCTGATAGGTGCCTTAAAAGTATGTTTGAGACAACTGCAAATCACCATATATTAAAGTCAGCACTGAATATCCTAAGAGTACTACAAAAGCACTGGAAAGCTTGCTTCCATTTCCAAAATCGCATCTATCATGACAGCTACCAAACTGAGATTACAAAGTAGACATAACATAATCCAGGTATCATTGTCTCCCATTACTCTCAGATCAGAAGATTTAATTGCAAGAAAATATGCTGAGCTCCCACTAATTCTGCTTTACAGTGCATTGTATAACTGGTTTGCTATATATTACAATTTAATAAGAATAGCAATAAAAGACACAATAAATGTAATACACTTGCAAGTGCATGATAAAAGTATTTTGAATTATCCCTAAACTACCCCTGATTAGGTCCATGAAAAAACTATCTTCGATGAAACTGATCCCTGGTGACAAAAAGATTAAAGACCACTATTTTTTGATAAGACTAGCATAGTACCCAGCAGAGTCCCTTGTAACTGAGTATCTAACAAATTGTTTATCAATGGTAAATTGATAAATGTTTATCAATGACAAATTATAAATGAAATCTACTCAATTTTACAAATTTATAGTACTTGTTAAATGTTGAATTTCAAGATTTTTGAACACATCTCAGTGATATAAACATTAAAACAACCTTTTATCAAAAATTCAATTGCATAATTGTATTACAATCAATATTAATAGACAGACCTATAATCCTTACTGCCAACATGAAAACTAAACTACAACTATAATCCAAGAAGAAATACAATCAAAGTGTGACACCACAGATGATACAATATATATATTTGCATCTAAAGATACATCTATAATTAGTCTATAGCACAAATTTAGCTCATTACCTCTTTAATTTTGTCCCTTTTCTTTCTTATCTCAATATCTTCTGGGTCTCCACCATTGATTCCTACAAGGTTTGGAATAGGAACCGGTGGCAGTGGCTTGTTCTCTTTTGTCTTCATTTCTTGGACTATTTTATTTTTCTCTGTCTGGATTTCTGCATGAATTTCTTCTCTTGACTTTTTTAATTTTTCTTTTGCTTCTTCCAGGGCCTTTTCATGATCAGCACGAATTTTATTTCGTAGACGTTCTTCTTCTTCCCTGTAAGTATAGAAAAAAAAGTGGTAAGTGTGAATCTTTGTAAGAATGTGTACCTTAAAACACAAAACTAAAAAGTTCCACCAAACACTGATGAGAGTTCTCTAATCTTACCATTGAAAGTTTGCAATTTTGGTGAGACAGACTCAGATCTACCCTAAGAATGGGCTAAATGTAACTTGGTATGCGAAGAAATACAAACTCTAGATACTGAAAACACTTTGAACAGTAAGGAAAAAGAAAACCTAGACGCAAAAGTCCCACTTTAGGTCTAAGTGAGAACAAAAACATATCAACCCGTAACTTACAGACAGATACATGCAAAATAAATACAGAACTGTGCAAAACTAAAAGGAGGAGAAAAAGTGAAATATAAAATTAGTATCAGAGAAGGGACAAAAATTATAAACGTTGGCCAAAAGGAAAGAGACAAAGAGAGTGGGAAATGTTTCAGTTGTTACAAGAACAGCCCATGCTTCTAAATCTTATAAATTTTAGAAGTGGCATTGTTAAGGTTTTTATCTAAATGTCCCTCCAAAGCCTCACAAACTTGAAGGTGGGACTTCTAGGATGGAGCTGGATCACGATGTGTGATACTGGCTTATGGCTGTGTGAAAATTGATTAATTCACTGATCGGGGTATGGATAATGAAAGGCCCAACCCAGGTGTGGGTGGCACCAACCAATAAGCTTGGAGCCAGAATGGAATAAAAAAGGGAAAGGAAGGTTTGCTGCTGGCTGCTTCCTGCCTATCATGCCATGCACCTCTGTCATACTGCCCTGCCTTGGAGCCAGCTGACTGCGGACAGAAAGTTCTATAAACTGTGAGCAAAAATAAATGCTTCCTCCTTTAACTTGTGTTTATCAAGTACAGTGTGATGATTCACAAGTAGAAAGCTATTCCTATACAGGAATAGCTATTTAAAACTCTTAAACACTTGTTAAAATACAGGTGTCAATTTAGTAGGTCTATATGATACCTATGAATCTGTACTGGTTGAATGTTGTTTCTGCCAAATCCTTGGGACCAAGGTATTTCAGATTTCATATCTGCATGGACTCGGGATAAAATATTTACTTCCACTCTGGAAAACAAAAACATGTAACTATCATAGAATCCAGCAACTCCATTCTTGGGAATTTATCTCCTGAAAGGGAGACATGCTTATACAAAAACCTATAATCAGTCACTAAAAGGTAAATACTATTTGATTCCACTTACATGAAGCACTTAGAGAAGGCAAACTAAAGATGTAAAGTATAATAGCAGTATCCAACAACTGTGGGTAAAACTAACAGAAGTTACTGTTTAATAGGTGCAGTTTCAGTTTTGTAGGCTGAAAAAGAGTTCTGAAGTGGATGGAAGTGATGTTGGAACAGTATGAACATAGGTAAAGCCACTGAGCAAATCCAAGAATAAATGACATATAGACCGAAATGTTAAGAGATTAGAAGACTCAGACAACTAGGGGCATCATCAACAAACAGATACGGATAAAGCCTTATATAAGACAACCAAAGCAGACACAAATACCATTCAAGAGCCTTTCAATCCCTTCCCCTCTATGCCAAAGGGGGAAAAACTATAATCTAATATTTTAAAATAAAAAGTTAAATGTTTAAAAAAAACAGAAAACTGAATTGCTCTCCAGCAGAACGAAAAGTGGGAAACAGGTCACAGAAGTGCTAGACAGTGAGATGGGGCCTAGACAATGTGGGAGGGGCTAACTTCACCTTAAAGTGAATCCAAGAGAAACGAACATGTAGGTGGAATGAAGTTTTATAAAAGGAAAGTGAGGCAGACACAAGCAGTAGCCACTCACACAACAAGAGCATTTCAACCACTTTCTCACTCCTTTCCAACAGAAAAACAGTATGCCTGACTGATGGCATGACTATGACAACTGAACTTTTCCCAGATGACCCTACAGCTAAGGGATGGCCACATAACCCTATTTCATTAATAATTGCAAGGGCACTCCCAGGAAATGCTTTTTTTAATGAATTGAACAAAGGCAGTGGCAAAAAAAAAAAGGCCTTTTGACTATTAAATCTAAAATTATCCAACTATCTATTCCTGTCTTTAAATATAATCATAATGTCTAAAGCTTTTTTAGTATATGTGCTGCCGAAGCAAGCACAATCGTACTGCTTAAAAGCTTTAACAACCATCTTGCAATCAAGAGGTCCTAAAGATAAACAGCCAACATAGTTCTAGAAAGTTAAGAGGAAAGGAGCGTACTACCAATGAATTCCTTACCAGGGTCCTCAACTGCCTGTCCCAAGATTTCAAATTCTGTGGAGTTACTGTCCTCTGGACATCCTGTCATTTCCTGCTAAGAGTTTTCCCAACTACACTCCCACCTAGCAAGCAGGCACACAGATTCAGGAAAGCAGAGCACTCAGGACTAGGCCCCGTGGACCACCACCACGAAACAGGGAAAACAGATGCCTTCAAGGGCAATTTCTGTCTTCAAGATGCCACAGGGAGCCAATCTCCATGTCTAGTTTGTCACCCCAATGTTACTGCTGAAAGGCTCTGACAAGTTCTGCAACAAATAGGCTTAACATAACACTTCCTAAATTTAATCGTAGTTCCCCTTGACTTTATACTCCTTTTAGTATGCACAGTACAATGCAACACAGAAAATGTCTGAGTATATCATCAAAGTGGTAGAACATTCATTTATTTATTTATTTATTTATTTATTTATTTTGCTGTGTGACACTATTTGTCACCTCTCTTAGCCTCCCTTTCTCATCTGTAAAAGTAGAGACCCTCCTAATCACATAAGATGGTTAGAAGACTAGATGAGATGACACAGGCTGGAAACTGAGTCAATTCAATTTCTCCATTTCCTTACATCCTATTTCCTCACCTCTACTATTATCCATCCTACACAATCTCCTTCCCTGAGGCTCTTGTTCATATCTAAGCTTTGATTTGACAGAAATAAATGATCAAGTGATGAGTTTTCTTCTTCAACTAGAATATACAAATAAGCCATGTAAGAAAGCACTATAGAAAATAAATGACCTAAATTACAAAAAGACCACTAAATCTACAATGAAATCATATTTGGTCAATATTTAGATAACTAAAAGTACTACCTTTTTATAATCACGTAGTACTCGTCTTTATGTATACACATGAAGTCACAAACATTCTTTAAAAATTAATAAATTAAAACTCAGAACTGCCTCCAACTTCACTACTTCTCATCTGTCCTTGAACCACTACACTTCTTGAGAATATTACAGTAGTTACTGTGTCTACTTCCACATCTCATTAATCTTCTACTTACCGTAACTGAAGCTTAGTAACCAAGTTTACTCTTCCTTTGAAACTCCCTATTCCTTACTCCAACCTGTCTTTCCAACAAGACTGTGATTGCCAATCTCCAATTTGACACTTCCAAATAGAACTGAATGATTAGCATGAAAAAAGGACAGTCACTGATTAAACTCAGGCAGGAAAACTTAACAAAAATAACACGTTAGCAAAGTGAATCAGCAATATTAGAAAACAGGAAAAAAAGGCAACACTGGGAAATATGTAAACATTAATAGCTAAAATTTCATTAAAACAACTTGTTCACCAACAAAAGTAAAATAAAAGAAATACATAGTCACTCATTAGAAACAAAGAAAGAGAAAAAAGAAGGTGATAAAATACAACACTTATTTCTGGTAACAAAACACGGAGGAACAAAACATGGAAGCCCTTCCAAAAGAGAAAAGTAAATTTTAACCTAATAAAAGATATCTTCCAAAACTGTAGATGTGAAACTACAGAAGCAATTCCCTTAAAAATGACAGAAACAAATAAGAACAGAAAGTATCACAACTTGCATTTGATTGTAGTGAAAATCCTAATCAACAAAATAAAACAAGAAAATGAAAACAAGAATAAAATATAAGAACAAAGAGTTTGAAAAACTGTCACATTCTGTCACAGGCAATATTATTTCTACACAGAAAATCTGAAAGACTCTACAAAACATTACAAATAAAGAGTACAATAAGGAAAGGAAGAAATTACCTAACAGATAACCACTAAATGTAATCTCCTTCCTTTCCTACATGCTGAGTTCCATTGTTCTAGATTCCAACATTCATGCCTGCTTTGAAACCTTTTCTACAGCAACATCACTGTTTACATCTGCTTTCATTCACATCTATTACTTTCTTGATAAGATTTCTAGCCTGTTTTTTGATTTAGGCTTAAGAAATTTAAGAGACCTCAAGACTCAAGAGATATCTGTTTAAAACTATTTTAAGTGAATTTTACTAAATTGACTCTTAACCCCCTAATTTTAAGAATAACTTACCACTGCTCCTGACTGAAAAAAACTGATGAATGAACCAACAATACTATGTTGATGACAGCCTATATTTTGAATTTTTAAAAATAGCATTACATATTAAACCACCTTTGTAGACATCTATGTTTTAATAAGATTCAAGAAAAATTTCGGAGAACCCATAAAGCTACACACACACAAAAAAAATACTGCAGCTGAACCAGTTAAGAAACTAGTTACTTATATACAATATAGGTTAACAATGTTTTTAGGAAATTACAAGACAGCCAGCAACTGGTACAGAAAATACCGAAACAACATCATTCTACACAGTTTATTGACAACTGCTTGAAGGAACTTAAACTCTTCCAAAACAAGAGCTACACCTTCAATGTCTTGAAGGAAGAGCCTCTTAAATTTAGAGGCAAGCATGAGATAAAATGATGCCAACTATTATCAAGGGAGTGATTCTCAGGAACAATAAAGATATTTCATTTGCACAGAATAACAGTTACTATATAAACAATGAATTTTCCACTTGTTATCATTTTAAGTATAAATCATGTACTTTTCAGTGTACTAACTATAGTTAGCAAACAGCACAAATTCCATCATATTTGTGCTCCCCATTCCATAACACTGAATTCTATTCTTAAAAAACAGAGAAGCACATAAGTTTCTCAATGCAAGTATGTAACT